CCTTTCCTAATGATCCCTAATATGGAATTCACCTTTTTCAGCACAGCTAAACACTGGGCCAGTATTTTCTTTGACTGATCTACCACAACCCCCAAACCTCTTTCCTGATCAGTCACCACTGTGCAGACCCTGGTGTATAAAATTAGGAGCGCTTTTTGCCCAGTTTCAGCCAGTTTAATGCCTATTCACCAATTCTCCTTTGCATCAAAAATCTGTCCTGAGCAATCTTCACCACATACAGTTGTGACTGTAGTTTCAGAGGCTTCTGGGGGTTGTGCTAATGTAAAGTAGCCCTCATCCCACATTGTTGCTGACTGTAGAAGTATGATCTAATACAGTAGCAATAGACCACCTTCTCATCCACTACCCAGTAGGGCCATAAGGATTAACAGATGGAACCTAGTTACTTTTGCAACAGCCTGGTGATTATTGGGTTGTGGTAACACAGAGGTGGGCTTTTTCACTGACAGCATCAGTGTTGTGGAATGCTCTACCTGCTGAAATATGAGAGGCTCCATCAGTATTGGCTTTCTGTTTGTTCTTGAAGACACACCTCTTTAGACAAGCATTCCCCTGATCCGCTTGAACATCCTCTGTAAATTGTTTTAATTGCGGTTTCAACTATTATGCTGTCTTGATTGGCTTTTTATTGTACATTTTAATTATGGGTGTTTCATTTTATTGTTTTGATTATTATTTTTATTGTGCATTTTAAATGTGTGTGGCTATATTTTTTCTAATTCGTTGTATACTAGGAAACTGCTTAGAAGCCATTTCGGCCAATGAGCAATATTAAAATTATGTTATGTTGTTATGTTATGTTATGTTATGTTATGTTGTGTTGTGTTGTGTTGTGTTGTGTTGTGTTGTGTTGTGTTGTGTTGTGTTTTATGTTTATGTTATGTTATGTTATAATGGGACTTTTGATGGTTCAAGGTATTTCACATATGTTATCTCATAGTCATAGTCCTGTGAGGTAGGTCCTCCCCACCGCAGGTTCCCATATTCTCCACTCCCTGCTGTATTCAAGCCAAAATATGTGTTACTGTAATTTTTAAAAATCCATGTTCTTCTCCTGTCTTTGCCTCCTCCATTTCCTTTTCCTTTCTCTGTGTCAGTTTAGATTTGAAACCCCTTAGGACCATGTAAGGGAGGAAGGGCTGTTGTCTTCATGGCCTGTATGGAAACTCCCCAGAGGCACCCTCTTTGCATATTTATGCTTGCACCTTAGGTCTGATCCTCCAGGGCACTTCTTTTGTTGCCTGCTGGATCAGAACAAAGGCCTATCTAGCCCAGCACCTTATTTCACACAGTGGCCAAGCAGATGCCAATCAGAAGCCTGCAATCAGGGCATGGTCCCAATTTTCCCCTCTCCCACGCATATTCTCCAGCAACTGGTATTCAAAGGCATACTACTGTTCTTAAGCAGTGTGACTTCTTTCCCCTACAATTATGAGATGAGGCTGGGAGACAGATTAAAAAGGTAAAGGGACCCCTGACCATTAGGTCCAGTCATGACCGACTCTGGGGTTGCGACACTCATCTCACTTTATTGGCCAAGGGAGCCAGCGTACAGTTTCCGGGTCATGTGGCCAGCATGACTAAGCCACTTCTGGCAAACCGGAGCAGCGCACAAAAATACCGTTTACCTTCCCGCCAGAGCAGTACCTATTTATCTACTTGCACTTTGACGTGCTTTTGAACTGCTAGGTTGGCAGGAGCAGGGACCGAGCAACGGGAGCTCATCCCGTCACGGGGATTCAAACCGCCAACCTTCTGATCAGCAAGTCCTAGGCTCTGTGGTTTAACCCACAGCCCCACCCGTGTCCCGGGAGACAGATTACATCTACCTTAAGAACACAAGAACATTAACAACACAAGAAGAAGAGCCTGCTAGATCAGTTCAATGGCCTATCTAGTCCAGCATCCCGTTCTGACACTGACAAACCAGATGTTTGTGGGAAACCTGCAAGCAGGATTCGAGCGCAAGAGCGCTCTCTCCTCCAGTGGTTTCCAGCAACAGGTACGGTATTTGGAATCATGGCTGCCTCTAACTGTGGAGTCAGAGCATAGCCATTATGGCTAATAGGCATCAATGGACCTCTCCTCCATGAATAGACCTTACTTACTTACTTACTTTATTTATTTATAGTTGCTTGCTGCATTTTTATTTCTTTTTTTGGCCTCAAAGCGACATGCAATTTGAAGGGGAAAGCATGCAATACCATATTAAAACACATTCGAAGATTGAAAACTTTATTAAATAAAAGCGCTACCTGGCTGCATGTAAATGAATACCTTCCTTAGTCACCCTCCTCTAATTGCTAAGCAGTTTGAATGACAAGTATGTGCAAACGAGATCAATGTAATTAAGGTGTGAGCAACGAAGGCAAATCAATATTTGAAGGGCAAACTTGGAGGATAAGGTGGCTGAGGCTGCCCTAATAGCATGTTCTGGAGGCAGAAGGCAAGCACCTTTTGACAACCTAAGTGCACGTAGGGTGGGTTAATGACTGATTTGAGGACTGCAGGGTGGGTGGGTGTCGATGGGTGTTCATTTTAATCATTTGTTCAAGGAGGGTGAGGGTGGAAACCTTTTCAGCCCAAGGACAGCATCACCTTGTGAGCAAACCTATGTGTTTGCTAGAGAGGCAGTGTGGTCTGGGGAGAGTTCTAAGGGCCAGATAGTGAGGCCTGGAGGGCCACATTCAACCCCTGGCTTGGAGGTTCCCTATTCCTGCCTTGGAACCACAGGGTGGTATTCAACAGATTTTATTTGGGATAGACCCATGAAAATTAATGGATATGACTAGGTAAACTCCATTAATTTCAATGGGTGTGCTTTGAGTAATCTTCATTTTTGTCTGCTTTATTGCTGTGGTCAATTTTTTTTTAAAAAACAACAACCTGTTGAGCTATTGTTTTAAATTATATTGTTAGCTACATTGGACTTGTTGAGGAACGGTAAATGTTTGCATGCTTAAAATAAACAATTTATCTGGGGAGAAATTTGGATGAGGAGTATTTTGGAAGCACTTCCGCCTACCGTATCTCCTCTTTCAGAGAGTGGTGGGAGGGGGAGACCTAATGCTGTGCAGTGACAAAATGGGATTTAATAAAAGGTTGCACAGGAAATAAAGGAAATAAGATTATACTAATTCAAACACCGCATAAAGAATGGACCTGCTGCCTTAATTCAGGCAATTTGAATTATTAATGATTCTTTTTTCTTTCTTTCCTCCCCGAATACTCTGTGAATGTTCCCTTGGTAAGACTTCCTCAATGCCTGGATCAGGAAATTGGGGAAATCAGTTTTCTAAAAGGTCAAATGCTAACAGCGAGCAAGATTTGTTCTTTCACACATGGCCTGGTTTCCTTCACTGGCAGAGGCTGGAAATCATAACCTCGCACGTTCTGTACAGAGAGCAAAGGAAAGAATAAGCACCCAATGTCCGTGAGCTACCTTTCTCTGTGCAGAATACAATCCTGTAAAATGCAAGGCACTTTCCCCTGAGGGTCAGATTGGCTAATGAAAACCACATATCTTAAAATACAATTCACAAGCAATAGGAGATGAAATACTACAACAGAAAGCGTTTTTAAAATGCATTCAAAAGCCTGAGAAAACACAAGAGCCAAGCATCATTCCCTGCCCGAGTAAGATCTACAAACTTGGGGCAACACAGGGAGGCCACTGAAAATGGCATCCCCGCAATGGTTTCTCTCCATGTCATTGTGACATCATCATAGTGCGCCTTCATCCAAAGCATTGCTCTCTGGTGTTGCCTGAAGGGCCTTCCCTTGCTGGAAGACTTCAAAGAGAAAGGAGACAGGCATCTGATGGGTGTTTCCCATATCTCAGGGATGAGGTCCTTTGCAGCTCAAGGGCCACATTCCCTTTGAGAAAACTTCCCAGAGCCACATGCCAGTGGTGGTGGGGCCAGAGGCAAAAGTGAGTGGGGCAACATGTGTACATTTCACCTATGGCACACACAAGCACACCCCTCTCTAGTCACCTACTTGACTTGCAAGAGGCCTTACCAGAGTTCAAGCCAAGGAAAAAGACTTGGGATGTGAAGCAGGGCCAGTGAGGGGTGTGGCCTGGGAAGAGTTCTGAGGGCCAGATAGAGAAGCCTAGAGGGCCGCAATCAACCTGGGGCCTGAGGTTCCCCATCCCTGCTATAGGGGTTGGACTAGGTACAAAATCCCTTATAATTTTTTTCCTGTAATTCCCAAACCAGAGCCAATGTTGTCAATTTGAGGCAGGAACACTGGTACCATGTTCTTGTGATGTGAGTCACCTTCACATATTAACTGTATAAAGAGGGTCCATGTAATTAAAAAGAAATACGTTTTCCTGAGTCACTGAGATTTCATGCCCTACTGACCTCCTCCTCTACCAGAAACAGGGCCAATCTCCATGCAAGAGCATAAAATGGACCCAATTTAGAAATTAAAAAATGGCAACATTCAGAATCCAGAGGGATAAAATTTCAGTCACCCAGGATACTCTGCAGTTAGCCTCACAGTCATCAAATTCCAACAAAAAATATTTCAAAGGGAGTGTCTATGGTAAAAACTGTTGAATTAGAATTTATCAGCAAGTTTGATTTGATTGCTTAGAGCTCAGTCGAAACCAAGGTTTCCTTTCCCACTACAGATGTGAAATTATTGATTGGATTATGTTGTTCCCAACACTGCAAATTGTCGCTGTGCTTATCTTGGTTTCCTTTGACACCACAGCTTTTGTGCCGGACCACTTCAGCATGAGGGTGGGAGTGGTACTGCACAACCTGAATGCTCCAGTGGAATATAATAGCCACCTGGACAGACAAAATTAGTATCCAAGGTATGTAAGTTCTAAGGTGAACTTAACTCCCTAAACAGTAGTCGTAATAATGATAAGCCTGAAGCCCCATCTCATTTCTTCTAGGCTGTTGTAGATCATTTCTATGGGTACATTTTGAAATTCTGATAAACTATAGAAACAAGTGACTCACCTGAAAAAGACCTGCTACTGTCTTGGGCTCCCTGTTTCAAGATTCATTCAGCCTTTCCTTCTGTAGCATAAGCTTGTTAAAGTCGGGTTCCTTTCCTGAAATAAAATGAATATAATTCAATGTTACTTGTTAAGATTTGGGAATGAGCAAGACGTCTCTCTCCCTCTCTGAGTTACAATCATGCTGGATTATGTCACAGCGTGAAATGTAAAATCATTATGTGCTTCTTTGTGAGACCTTTTGTTATCCATGGCTGTATTTATTTCTCTGCCTGAAAAAAATATGTCTGTGTAACTTGCACAGTTTCAATTTTATTTTGAACACTGTCTCAGCCACATTTCAGTTATTTCTGGAAAACATTGCTAAAACTGTGCATCGCTGTTATTGTTGTTTGGTTTTTTCAATGCTGATTTAATATGCGAGTCTGATTCATATGGGCAAATCTGACATGCATGAAATCAAGGGGCGCACAAGGAGGGAGGAAGAGAGAGAGGAAAAGGAAGAAAGGTAGGAAGATTCCACAAGGAATTTGTAAGAAAAATTTGCCTACAGTGGACAAAAATTAAATAGCCAAATTCAAAATAAATGCCTTTGACCTATCAAAACCAGAGCATAAGGTTTCTACGATTTATTTTATGAGTTTGTTAAATGATACGACGATGAAATAATATGTTCCAACTCAAAAAGATAATGCAGAGCTAGAAAAGGACACCCATGTGCCTTATGGCTGGTCAGCATATCTATCCATAGGCTACACCAGAATTGGATGGAATACTCCGCTAGGGATGAGGGATAAATTGGAGTCAGTTCACATTTAATCTAATTCACACTTTCCAAAACAATGGGGACCAAAACACAGCCAGCCTTTCCAACTCACACTTCTCCAAATGTTGAATGCATTATATTAGGCTAAAGTGCACATAAAATATCGTGGAAAAAGACATGATATTAGGCAAACTTGCTTTGCAAAATATGTATATTAGACAAGATTACATTTTAAATGTGCATAGAAGGAGAAATTTGCACTTAAATGCTGATGTGTTTTCATGAGAACTTGAAAAAATACAAACTGATCTAGAAATCTGGAGAAGTGAAGATCTGGAAAGTAAGAAACTGGGAGAAGTCCGCTCACCCTTCCTGGTGGAAGCACTCACCCTGCCCTTCACAATCCAATGAGGGAGGCCCTGATGCCTACGCCCAGTGTCTTACATCTGTGGTCAATAAAAGTTGTGGCCTGATTTGACCCAAACACTAGTGTCATGTCTCATTATTCATGGAATTTTGGCAGACCATAGGGTGGGGAGACACCTGGGCATGCAGACCACAATGGACAGGTTCACCCACCCTTGCTCTCCACATTCTCATGCAGGAGTCCCCCCCTCCCAAATCCCGCTCTTATGATCACATACTCCATGCTCCCTTTTGTAAACTAGAGATACCAAGGATTGCACTGGGGATTTTCTGCAGGTAAACCATATGCTCTGCTACCTAGCCATGTTGTCACCGTATGGGGAGTGAAATCAGCAAGAGAAAGTTTAGCAACACACATGTTAATAGTGGAACAATGGGGGGATTGTAGTTTAAAAAAATGAGTTTGTTTATTTTACATTGGCACAACAAAGAACAAGTCTCTGCTGGGGGGAGTCTAAGAGTAGGGAATGTAAATGAAATAGTAAAATAACTTGGGAAAAGGTGATGATGAAGAATATTAATATTGAAATATATTTAAATGACTGATGATGTGGCTTTTTAATAAAATATTAAACTTGCATTTTTTAGAATTCATAGGCTATTCAAAATAACTGTGCATTATTGCAGTGTTGTATAATATTCTGCTAAACATCTCTGCATATTATTAGGAACAATAAATATATTTTATATATTATAAATATATATTTAAAATAATTTAAAAATGGTAAACAGGGGAAATGCATTCTTAAGTGATGCTGATGGCATATACACCGATACATAATCTCATACATAGTTCCCTGGCCTCAACCACATGGGAACCTTTCCTGCCCACATTCTCCCAGTGAAAATATACCAGTGCTCCATCCTCGGTTTAATCAATGGGTGTGGAGTTACATTGGTTCCCTTTTCTAATTCTGATATGGCTACAGGCTATAAGAGAGCAGAACCCTCAGGAGTGGCTCCGTCGACTAGCTAAGTGTTAAAGTTTCCCTCCATGGACCAGGTAGAATCAAATCCAAGAGTTATGAGGCAGTAAGGACTGTAAACAGATATTCCCCCTGTTGGTCCGGCAGCAAGAATTGCTATTGATTTTTGTTTTGTTTTGTTTTAGACGAAGAAACTATGTTGATGTGTGCAAATACTCCCCCCCCTCCTTCCGGTGAATAGTTTCTGTCAATCTGTTGGAAGTTCACTGCACAATTGCCAAGGCTGGTGTCTTTCAGAGGAAGTCAGCACCAGAAGTCTTCGTGAAAAGCTACATTTGCACCTTTACAGATTGCGATGAGGATGGAAATTGGCTGCAGTCAGCAAGGGGGAATCAAGCTACAGTACATATAGCAGAAGTCACTCACAGCCCCTCCAAGTGTTTCTGCCTAGACTCGTTCAAGTATCTGAGAAAAAGGCTGCCAAAGCATGTCACCCCAAGTACGGATACACAAACATAGCAGGACTGAAATCAGGACTTGAATGTAGGAAGCTGCCTCTACTATTGTCCCATCTAGCTCAGTACTGTTTACACTGACTGGCAGGGCTCCCCCAGGTTTTTGACAAGGGGTCTCTCCCAGCCCTACCCAGAGATACCAGGGATCGAACTTAGGATCTCCTGCATACAAAGCAGATGCTCTCCCACGGAGTTACTGTACTTGATTTGCACACTCCTATAGTAGCAATAACCAGAGAGAAATGTAGGAGATGCTAGGCAGAGAGACATGATTCTGCCGGAGATTGTCCAGGTTCCTCAGCTGGACATTTGCCAGGCAACAAGAGACAGGGGTGGGCGGAGATTTTGTGGGTTTTTCTTGATGAAATCATTCCATGCCTCACAGGACATTTCAAAGCAAGGGCCCACATTCATACACAAGCAGCGAAAAGCTGGAGAATGTAATTTAGTTCTCAAGAGAAAATGCCCTGGATTTCCCAAAGCCTTCTTTGTGAAAGCAAACTACACACCCTTGATTTTTCATTGGATTAATACTGGGGATTGCAAAAGAAACAGCACCCTTGCTTTGAAAAAAATGGCATTAAGGGTGCTTCCAGAAGACTGTAGGTCTCATGGACTTTTTGTCATCAGAACATATACTGAGTCAGAGCATTGGTCAATCTGGATAATATTGTCAACAATGAGGGGCAGTGGTTCTCTAGGGCTTCTCAGCCCAACCTGGAGATGGCAGGGATTGAACCTGCAACCTTTTGCTTGCAAAGCATATGCTCTTCCACTCAGCTACAGCCGTTCCCCAGCTCTGTCCCGACATCTTTCAAGTTGGTTTCACTAAGGATTTTAGTGATCCTGGGGTTAAGCTTTCCACATTCAGTGATAAGACTATAGACACTAATGGAGTGGCTGAGTGAGGGAAGGATTCACACCCAGTGCAGACCCCGAATACGCCTTCCCCGAGGTAGTTCATCCTATGACCTGAAGAGGTCACATTGACATCATCTTCTGGTTCTCAAGCTCCACCCCAGAAACCATGACCAAGCCATAATAATAATAATAATAATAATAATAATAATAATAATAAATTTATTATTTAAACCCCACCCATCATGGTTTCCCCAGCCACTCTGGGCAGCTCCCAACAGAATATTAAAAACACAACAAAACATCACACATTTAAAACTTCCCTAAACAGGGCTGCCTTCAGATGTCTTCTAAAAGTCAGATAGTTGTTTATTCCCTTGACATCTGATGGGAGGGCGTTCCACAGGGTGCCACCATCGAGAAGGCCCTCTGCCAGTTCCCTGCAACCTCATTTCTCGCAGTGAGGGAACCGCCAGAAGGCCCTCGGAGCTGGACCTCAGTGTCCGGGCTGAACGATGGGGGTGGAGATGCTCCTTCAGGCATACTATTCCCCTCCTCAATACAATCAGAGCCACTGCTGTAAAAAAACAACAACAACCCACTTTAAATACAAGAGGGTTCTGCTTGTGGTGGCAGAGATGCGGCCTATTCAAATTCAGGCTGCCGCTGAAGCAACATCTTAGATTATCGTGCTGATATGTCAGCACACAGCCTCAATGAATTCCACGCTGCTGTTGAAGCAACATCCAAGGCTATCCTGCTCATGTGTTAGCAACCATCCTGATCTCCCCTGGAGCTGCCAAAGGTGTTGTTCATGCCTGAGCACATACATGTGCCTGCTTGGAACAAACCTCCTTCTTGGAAATAAACTCCTTTGGCTCCTGATTCAACCTCCTGCTTGGGTTTCCATACAAACTGCCCATGCTCACGGGCTGGGCCAAGATAGAGATATTCTGGGGAGTGCCAGAGACCAGATTTATTCTCCACTGGATAAGATGAAGGCATTCTTTGTACAACTGGGTCAAAACAAAAACATTTCCCCTCCCTGCCCCAAACGTGTAGGAAGGATTCCTGTAAGCTGCTGCTCACAATATTTTTGAGGAGCTAGCTGGATGCGTGACCCATCCTTGCCCAGTTCCAATTCATTTCAGAGAGCTTGGTCTGGTCATCTATCTAGAACGGGGTGTAGGGATTAAGATGGGGACAATACTTAAATTCAGAGAGCACGATCAAGATACTAGTTCTTCTAAGCAGAGCCCCATTGAAAACCACACTTTTGGTGCTTAACTTTGGCTTGATCACACCCAGGTAGCCTAATACGTTTAAAGCAAAGTTATTCACATTATTAAATGAAATATAATTTTGATTATTTTTAACTGTTTCCCAAAGCACCAAACCAGGATCCAAAACAAATCCTGTGGTCAGTGCACATCCATACTTAGGGCATATCTGCTCCTGCACTTCAGCTCAAAGAGTCCATCCTTTCCTGTGTTTTGCTCACTGTTTCCTCTGTGGAGCAAAGTTTGCACAGTTAAAGTTACCTATACATGATAGAAGGACATTGTCCTAACAGGACACAGCAAGAGAGACCACTCTTTGTACATT